GGGGCTCAGGAGGGTGGGGAGGAGGGGCTGGGGGCTTAGGAGGCCAAGTGCAGTGAGGCTGGGGGCTCAGAAGTCTGGGGACAAAGGGCTTAGGGCTCAGGAGGGTGGGGAAGAGGGGCTGGGGGCTCAGGGGGGTGGGGAGGAGGGGCTGGGGGCTCAGGAGGCTGGGGACAGTGGGGCTGGGGGCTCAGGAGGCTGGAGAGGAGGGGCTTGGTGCTCAGGGCTGAGTCGAGCTTGTCTGGTTTTTCTTGACAAGCTTCCCCCAGCCAGGGCATTAGAACTATTTTTGGAATCGCTTCTGAAGAAGGCCTGCCAAGTGACCCAGTCTCGGAATGCCAAGACTATGACCACCTCCCACCTGTGAGTTCTGGCAGGGGGGCCACACTTTGCTGCCCAGCTCTGGCTTTCCCCCTCCATCACCTGGTCCCATAGGACCCACTTCCATCCTCCTCTCCAGCCCCAGCTTCACCCTTTCCCTTTGACTCCCTCACCTTTGAAAAGATCACCAGATCTAGAATCAAAAGACCCATGTCTGAATTTCTGCTCTGCCCCTCACCTCAGCCAAACCCCTTTCTGGTTCTGGGCCTCACTTTTTTCTGCCGTAAAAGTAGGAGGTTAAATTAGAAAGCTTCTAAGGTCCCTTCCGGTTCTCCATCCCAAGAACCTCTGTCGCCCCTCACCCAGAATTCAGGGGGTACCCCAAGTCCCCCTTCCCCTGGAACCCGAAGGGGGAGCTCAGTCCCTGTTATCTCCCGTCCTAGAAAACAATGTATTGAGTTGGAGCAGCAGTTTGATTTTTTGAAGGACCTGGTTGCCGCCGTGCCCGACATGCAGGGAGACGGAGAAGACAATCATCTGGATGGAGAGAAAGGAGCCCGAAGGTAAGTGCAGCGGGACATTCCCCCATTCTCCTTTGAACCACCCCACAAAGGCATTTTGTTTCAAAGAAAATATTTCCAAAATCTAACCAGCACCAAAAAAGGAGAGAACACTTCTTATACAAAGTAGGACAGGCGCTAAATATTTATTCAGCTCCTACTATGTGCCAGGTGCTATTAAACCCCGAATCTCTCTGTTTCTGTCTGTCTGTCTGTCTGTCTCTCATTCCCTGTCTGTCTCTCTCCGTGTATGTGCACTTCAACATGTTGCTTTCTTTTTTAAAATTTTTTTGAAATCTTTTATTTTTACATCACCCAAATTTCTCAGGGCATCCCCCTTTCTACCCCCTCCCAAAGAGACGTCCCATGTAACAAATAACGGTTTTAAAGAAAAAAGTCGGCAGAACTGATCAACCCTTAGAAAAAGTCTGCAAACATGCCGCAGTCCACACCTGTGGACCTCCACCTCAGCTTAGGGGTCAGAGCCGGGGAGGGAGGCTGTGCCAAAGCCCATGTATCCATGTTCTCCTGGTCCTCCTCATTTCTTCTGCATCAGTTCATCCAAATCTTCCTAGGTTTCTTTGAAACTCTTCGCTTCCCCCTTTTTTACAGCGCTATGCTATTCTGTTACACTCGCATGTCACACTTTGTCTAGCCCTTGCCCTTCAGGTTCAGAATAAAGCCAGCTGGACTGATGCCTTTCTACGTGTGGGTCCTTTTCAGTGGTGTCCATGAGTCCAAAGGCTCTGACCAAGGGTCTGGGTGGTCCTAGCTCCCTTGGGACCCAGAAGGTTTCAGAGACGCCTCAGGGCTGTCCTGGCTCGTGATTCCTTCGAGCCTCACAGGGCTGAGCTGTCTCAGTGGCTGAACAGAAGTGTCCTGAGATCAGGCCCTGGTAGGGTTTTTTTGTGTCCCCTGTGGCCTTGAGCATTCGTAAATGTTCATAAGATTGCTTACGGTACTCACTGTCACCTTGGTTTCCAAATCTGAGAAGTGACCTCGAAGGGCCTTTCCACTTCTGAAGTCTTATGGTCCAATTCTAGGGGCCGGAAGCCCGGGGGCAGCAGGAAGAATGGTGGTGCTGGAGGAAAGGGGAAAGATAAGAAGCAATCTGGGACAGACTCGGAGCAGGAGGTAAGCCAGCTCAGTTAGACTGGCAGCTGGATGAGGGCACGGCCTGTTTCCCTTTGGTTTCTCCAGTGCCTGAGGGGTCGTCCTAGATTGCGGCTGAGCCCATAGACGGTGCCCCAGGCCTCTGGCTGCCTCTCAGAGGAGGCCATCCGCCTGCCTTGGTCTTCCCCGTCCCTTCCCTTTGTCATCTCCCTGCCTGATGTGGCTGGGCAGTCAACGTGGCCCCTTCCCCCTGAGCTCAGGGGGTCTGACGGCTGACCGGAGTGAGGCCTTATCTGCATGTTGCCCACAGGATGATTCTGAAGACACAGAGACAGATGGGGAGGAGGAGATGCCACAGCCCCCACCCCAATCCAGCCGGCCCATGGCCCAGTTCCAGAGGTGAGGTTGTCGGCCTAGAGGCAGGAGTGGGGAGCAACATGGTAAGGGGGGTTGTGGCTCAGGCCGGGGCCAAGAGGAGCAAAGAGGGTTCTGGCCCAACCCAGGTCCATAATGTCCGCACCACCAACCTGCCAAGCCCACTTGGCAAACCGTTCCAGCACCCCAGATGTGCAAATGGGCCCCATAGTTCTCTAGGGTCCTGTTGGGGGGAGGCAGGGGTTCTGGCCTTGGGGATGCCTGTACAACTAGTCTGACTGCCTCCCCCTCCCTTGTCTCTCTGCTCCACAGCCCCCCGGCCCCTTTCCTCCCCTTTTCCTCCACCCTGCCTCTCCCTCCAGCACCCCCTGGCCCTACAGCTGTTGAAGAAGAAGAAGATTATGACTCATAGGCCCTACCCCCTGGCCCTCCCCACCTCCTCCTCCCACCCTCCACCCTCGTTTAGTCAATTTTAGTGGCTGAGGGTGAGGTGGGGGGGTAGGGGAGGGCCTTCTTAAATTTATTAAAAATTTTTAAAAAGAGGCTCCTGAGTGTTCGGCCCCCTCCTCTGTTCCTGGGTGCTTTCTCCCAGGCCCAACCCAGGCCCCCCCCACCGCTCCCTAGACGCTTGGGAAGTCCCTTCTCCCGTAGGCCTCACTTTCCTGATCTGTAAAAGGGGGCCGCTGTGTCCAGTGTGTCTGGACAGGCTGGTGGGCAGGCTGCTGGGTTTGGAGCCAGACCCTCTGCCTTGGAACACTGGCTCAGACACTCCCTCAGCCCCTTCACCTGTCCCCTCATCTGTAAGCCAAGGTGGCCGCCCCCCAGGGCTGCTGTGCAAATCCTTGAGGCTGCCTGGCAGAGGGAATTGGCGAGAGCCAGGGTCCTCATGCTGCCACGCCTTCCTTGGCTGCCCTGCCATCTGGCAGGGCCCGGGAGCCAGGGTCAGCCCACCTTCCTCTCTGCTTCTCTGCACCCACCCCTGGCTCAGTGATTGAGGGGCACGTTGAGGAGTCCCAGCAAACCTTCTCTTTGGATGCCAGTGATTTAAGAGTGAAGGCCACTGTATGTGACCGGGTACGAAGGCTTCTCTGGACCTCCCAGGGAGGGAAAGGCCAGAAGCACGTGATGGTGCGCAGTGAGAGGGTAAAGATGAGAGTAAGACCATCGCCTGGGGAGATGGAAGGGATCTGAGATGTCCAGACCAGCCCTTCTTCATGTTACAGATGGAGAAACTGAGGCCCGGGTCTCATATCACCTGAATTTGAACCCAAGTCTTCTGGCCTCTCCTCTTTTGCTCTTTCCCACACAGAGCTAAAGCCAAATTGAAGATGGCAAAGGGAAACGGGAGGGCAGTTTTGAATGTAATTGTTGGGGTTGATGTATAGATCCGGGCCCTGCAGAAGACCCTGTTCTCCCCTGCTCTTTCCCCTGGACCCCTCCTCGACCCTTTTCCCCAGGGATGGAGGGAGGAAGGCAGGAGCTGCAATATTAGTGACTGCTCTGGGCCAAGCCGTGAGGATACACTAGGAAAGGAAGACGTCCAGGAGCTCCCTCCCTAATGGGAAGAGGAGGCCCGATGCTTTAATAACCTTTGGTGCCTACCCTGGGGAGAAGTGGGCTTTATGGTGCTGGGGGCAGGGGGGAGTGGGGATGGGCCACCCTGCAGTGCCCACCCCACTCCTGACCTGTGCCCTTTGTTTCTATGGACCTTTCTGCTTCAGGATGCCTAAACGAGGCCTGTAAGGACACTGCCTCGCCCACCCCCTCCAGAGGCACTTCCCCCCCTCTCCCCAGTCCTGACCCCTGGCAAAGCCCTGGCGTGGAGCTGGCTGGGCTCTGGGCAGGTCAGTCCTTTGGACCATCACCTCCATTGACTGCGTGATCTAGAGAGCATCTAGGCCACCCCCTCTTATTATGGATGAGGAAACTGAGGCCTAGAGATACGAAATGTCATGGCAGACGTCCCGTGCAGCCATCTGGTGGCAGCTGCTCTCTGCAGCCAGCCTTCGGGGTGGGGGTGGCGGGGGGTGTTTGCAGAGCTCTGTAGATGTCACACCATCGAGCCCTCTACCTCCATAAGGCAACAGCTGTTCTCATCCCCAGTGAGTGGGCAGCTGACCAGTAATGTGATTGGTCAAGAGAAGGGTGGGTCACGGAGCTGGGCAGCATCTGAGGCAGACTCCAGACCCCACTTTCTGTCCATTTGTTTTGACCCCTAAGCAGAAGGCAGCTGTACCCTGAAAGCTCCCCGGGGCCCCCCTTCTTCCAGCCTCCTGTCTGAGGGTGACCCCTTAAAGAGCCCCCCAAATAAATCATGGAGCTGGGCCTCTCTGTTGAAATTCACCTGTGAACAGTAGTTGGGGGAGGGAAGGCACAAATCACTGGGCAGGTCTGGGGGGAAGGGACCCTCTGCCCAGCTCAGTCCGCTGACAGTGGCCAGCATGCACCCACCCCCACTCCTGCTTTCTGCAGAGAGCCCCTTTGCCCTCAATGTTGCAGAATCTCCAAGTTGGACAGGACAGGCTTTCAAAAGGCCTCAAATGATCTAAATACCATGTGATCTCGACGCTTCAGCATCTTACCCTCCCCCGCTGGACCTTGTGTGCCTCAGCAGTGTCCTGAGATGTGATGCCCAGAATTTAACCCAAAGGGGATCCTAGGTCTCTGCTGGAAGGCGTCTCATAGGCCACCGCCTCTGATGCCGTCATGGGACTGGACCACAGATGGTTCTGGAGCACACCTCCTTGTCCCAGATACCACACCTCTCTTCACCAAACCTAAGACTGCTTTGTTGTGCTTGGCTACCCTCACACATTACTGGGTCATTTGGAGTTTGCAGCCCTCTAAGAACCCCAGATCATTTTCACAGGTTTCTAAGGGCTTTCTGGGCTCAGAAGGTCCAGAGGTTCTTCTGTCTAGACAAGGTGAGATTTGAGCTAGAACCTGGAGTACCAGCTGGACTGGGCTTGATGGGGAGGAAAGGGAGGGGAGGGTGAGGCAGAGTGGAGGGAGGTGGAAACAGCCAGTGCCTTCATGGGTCAGGCATGTTTAGAGGCTGAGCATGCCCGTGCTGGGCCTTCTGGTTTCTGGAAGATGCATGTGATCGACTCCAGGAGGCAGCTTTGGAGGAGCTGGGGTGCAGGGAATGACGTCCCTGGGCATCCCAAGCCCGAAGGAAGCTTCTGTGCAGCAGCAGTAGGTGGTCCCAGCACTTGGGGCTTGGCTTAAGGAGGGAATCCATCTCTCCACAAGGAAGAAGGAAGAATGTGGAGGAGAGGAGTGAATGGTCCAGCACTCAGGGCCCTGAGCAAACTCACATAAGCACAGGAGGCCAGGGCTTGAAGAAGCCACCAGCCTGCTCTCCTTACTACAGAGCTGGGGACTGAGACTCAGGAGAAAGGACTCACCTGGGGTCCTAATTCCAACTCCATCCCAGGGCCAACCCACTCCAAGGCCACCAGGAGAAGCAAGGCTGGGGGCAGATGCAGATTCATTTTTTAAACAAATTTTTATTGATGTCATTTTTTGGAATCAGCATAATTTCTCCCAGTGGGCACAGTGCATAGAGCACCAGGTCTAAGGTCAGGAAGACTCATCTTTGTGAGTTCAAATCTGGCCTCAGACACTGACTAGCTGTGTGACCCGGAGCAAGTCACTTCACCCTGCTTGCCTCAGTTTCCTTATCTGTAAAATGAGCTGGAGAAGGAAATGGCAAACCACTCCTGGATCTCTGCCAAGAAAACCCCAAATGGGGTCACTGAGAGTTGGACGCAACTGATATGACTGAACAATATCTCCCAGTCTCCCTTCTCCTGCCCCCACGTAGAGAACCATCCCATGTAACACTATTCTGTAAAGACAAAAAAAGAGGAACAAATCAGCATAACAGCAAATACATCAGCTAAGTCTGACGATACGTGCAATGTCGCACCATCACTTGTGGGACCTTCCCCTGCAAAGGGGTGGGGTGGCTGGGAGGGGGCTTCCTACGTCTCTTCTGGGGGCCAGGCTTGCTTTTTATAATTTCACAAGATTCACTTGATTTTTTTGTGTGGTTCTTTCCATTTCTATTGTGGTTATTGTGTAATTTTCTTAGCTCTGCTGACTTCCTCTGCATCAGTTCATGTAACTCGTCATGTTTCCCTGCATTGGTCATTTCTGTAACATTCCATTCCATTCATGGACCACACTTTGTTGAGCCATGCCCCAATCAATGGGAATCCACTTTGTTTTCAATTCTTTGCTATCACAAAAAGTGCTGCTAGGAATATTTTGGTATATTTAGGGATTTTTATTTTCTTAACCAATGGCCTCCTTGGGGTCTCATTAATTGACTCTGAGTAAATCAGCCAAATTGATTTGGCTACCTGGAAACTCCAGCAGACAAGGCACTCATGTGGGCTTAAGGAGGCATCTGGGAAGGCTTCAAGGAGGTGGCCTTTGAGCTGCCTGCAGTGGGGAGGACATTCCAGGCATCAGGGTGCTGGTCTTCAGTCTCCTCTGGAAAATGAGAGGGTGGGACTCATTGTCTGCAAAGCGCCCTGTGGGGTGGGTAATGAAGATGGTCATATCCCAATTTTATAGTTGAAGAAACAGGCACAGCGTTCTTTTTATCATAGGATCATAGATAGAGGGCAGGGACCTTAAAACCTCATTTTGCATATGTGGAAACTGAGGCAGAGCAAATCATACAGATCTGGCTTCAAGTCTAGTTCGCTGGTTCCTGCACCACATTCTCTCTTTGCTAAGAGGCCACTGGGGGGCGCCACAGTGCACAGAGCCTTGGGCTCGGGAGTCTGCAACACCTGACCAGCTTCAGGTTCCATCACTTCAACTTGGGTCGGCCTCAATTTCCTCATCTGTAAAATGGGGATCATAATAGCACTGCCTTCCCAGGGTCATTGGGAAGATAAAATGAGGCCATATTTGTAAAGTGCTTTATTATTATCATTATTATTATTATTATTATTAATTTCATTTGAATCCTAGCTTTGGCAGGTGCTTAGGGAACCTCCTCAAAAACATAGAGATGAATGGTTTGTACCCTGCCTGTGTTCTCAGGATGCTTGAGAGCCTGAAAACAGTTTATTCTGCAGTCTTTTAAATGTTTCTTCTGTAACCTGGTTGGCATGATTGCCGGTCACATGTTCTATGCCAAAAGGCTTTGCTGAGCACATCCTGAAATCCTGGTGTCCGTTCGCATGTTAATCCCAGATGCCCCTTTGGCACAGTTCTCTCTGGCACTGGCAAGAGACACCCCCCAAAGCACCCATTTTCCAGACTCCTTTTTTTGTTAGCTGACCGACCCACTGGGGTGTGGGGGTGGAATGGGAGCATGAAATACATAGTTATGTAAGGGACAAAGTTAGAAGTGATTCAAAGTGCTCTCAGAAATCCGAGCAAGAGACAGATCCGTTTTAGCTGGGGGCTTCCTGAAAGAGGGGGCATCAAAGCTGAGCCTTGAAAGAAGTGAAGGATTTCACAAAGTCAGGGCCACTGGCATTTACTAAGCCCCTATTATGTACTTAGCCCTGTGCTAAACATCTGGCCATACAAAGAAAGGTTTAAAAAAAAAAAACCCTAAACAAAAAACCCCAGCCCCTGCCCTGAGGGAGCTCCAGATCTAATAGTAGAGACCACATGCAAATAGCTACATAGGAACAAGCTATATACAGGCTATATAGGGACAGGCTTCCTGGACAAGATGAGGAGGGAGAGCATCCCTGGCATGGAGGACAGCCCTGGGAAATGTCTGGAGTCAGGAGATGAGAGGAACAGCAGAGAAGGGCAGACACCAGAGATGAGGGGTGGCTGGTGCCTATGAACCGTCAGGAGGGGGCAGGATAAGACCAGGGAACATTGAGGAGGCCAGTTTGGCCAGAGCATAAAGTCTGTGAAGAGAACTTATAGCCTTATGGAGTCAGAGCTGAAAGTGACCTCAGAGGACATCTCATTCAGCCCTTCATATGACAGGGGAGGAAAATGAAGTCTAGAATGCTAAGTGACCTGCCCAAGGTCACACAGGCAGGGTAACAGTGCCAGGTCATTTGGATGTCAATTCACATTGCCTCCTCTAATTTCCTAACCCCCATTTTTGTCCAAAAGCAACATAGGCCGTCTTAAGAGAGAGATAGTGAGCTCCCCATCACTAGAAGTCTGCAAGCAAAATTTGGATGCCTACCTGTCAGCCGTGTTCAAAAGGGGGTGCCTGCTGGCTTAGGGAGGGAGGTGCTGGACTTGATGCCTCTGAGAAGTTTTCCTCCCCCTCTGAGTATGAGAAATGTGGATGGGGTAAAGCTGGAAGGAAACCTGGAAATGCCAGGTTAAGTGAGGCTAGAAGAGAATGGGTCTGATGATACTTATCCTATCTGCCTTGGTATAGGGCAGGGAGGGCTTTGGGAAACTTGCAAATGGGATCTTCAAGGTGAACCCCTGGGAGGATTCCAGGCTGGCATTTCCCTTCTCTCAGGGTGGGAGCTTCCCATTTCTCAGATAAGATCCCAGAGCTGGCATGGGGAGGGGAAGGCAGCTCATATGACCTCATTGAATGCGTACTTGAGCCCCTTCTGGGTCCACACTCTCGGCTCACACACACCCCCATTGCTCCATAGAGTTATTGGCTAAGCAGAGACCAAGACTTACACCTCTTGCTGCTGTAACTGTTTGGGGACAGCTCAGAGAGCAGGGCAGGCAGACGACACGCAGGGTCCCATGCTTGGCAAAAGTATAGTCCAAGCAAAAGGGGGATCCCCATTTCAGGGAGACAGCTGGGAGGGGGCAAGGTGAAGCCACAGCAAACTTGAGCTAGAGGGGACCTTAAGCGATCATCTTATCTGACTTCCCTTATTGTCCATGTAGGGAAACTGAGACCCAGAGGGAGGAAGGCCCTTGCTTGAGATTCCATGAGCCATTCAGCCACCATTGCAGACACAGCATGATGCTGTGGGAAACATTGGGACTTAGAGGAGCTGGGCTCAAACACTGGCTCCTCCACTTACTACTTGTGATTTTGTCAAACTATTTTTCCCCTCCTCTGGGCCTCAGTTTCCTCCTCTGTAAAATGAGGCTTTCTCTACAGTCCTCCCTTTCTAGCTGAGCTGAGGATGTGCCTACTATGCAAAAGATCCCATTCAAGGAGATAGAGAACAAGTTCAGGTCAGATGCTACCCTCAGGGAGGTAAGGTCCAGGGTACTGCAAATGGCCAGACACACAGTAAGGCATAATAACGTGATCAGGGAGGACGGCTGCCCTGGGGTGCTCTCAGAGGCAGGGGTGCTCTCAGAAGCCAGGGGGCCCTAAGAGGCCAGGGTGCTCTCAGAGGCAGGGGGCGTTCTCAGAAGCCATGGTGCTCTCAGAGGCAGGGGCGCTCCCAGAGGCCAGGGTTGCTCTCAGAAGCCAGGGCACTTTCAGAGGCTGGGGTGCTCTCAGAGACCGGGATACTCTCAGAAGCCAGGGGCTCTCAGAGGCTGGGGTGCTCTCAGAAGCCAAGGTGCTCTCAGGGGCCGGGTTGCCATGCCTCCCCAGAGGCCTGTTGGTCTCCATAGAGACGGTCCAGGACCAGGCTGATAGAAGTTCTGAAATGGGGGGATGGGGCAGAAGAATACTTTGCTAAGAGCCCACCAACAGTCAATTCTGGCTGCCTCTGCGTTAAAACCTAATCGTGATGCCCGGGTCCGGGGCCCTTCGGCCTCATCTGAAAAGGGAACGGCTGCCAGCCTGCTGGGACTCCTTTCTGGAGTGCCTCTGGCCCACCAAGTAGGTGGCTTCTAACTGCCAAGACCCTTGAGCTGGGAAACAGGATGCCTGGGTCCATGGAGGCGCAGGGGGAGACACTGGGCAGGGTCTCTTAAGGGCTGGGGAAGCTGTACAGCACAGAGGATCCCCGGTGGCCTCACCTCCTGAGGAAAGGCTGGGGCTCCGAGGACCCCCAGAATCTCCAAGGGTCCCTCAGTCCCGTGGCCTCCCAGGCCTATAACAAATCGTTAGCCTGGGTGGGGAGAGGCAGAAGTCCCCATTTAAGGATCCACTTGTCCCCAGACTTTGGGGAAGTCTCCTCCCCTTTCTGGGCCTCAGACTGAAGGTGGCGCTCCTCACCCACCTGTGGGATGTGGGGCACTTGCTGTCATGGTCAGTGCTGCGTGCGGAAGGTGCTTATTCACGTGGGCTCCCTCACTGCCCCCTCCAGGGTGCTTTTGGGAGCGGAGATGGGGTGTTGATCCAAGGCCGACCTCGGGCTCGGAGTGCAGGGAACGCCAGAAAGAAAGATTTCTCCGTCAAAGGCAAGAAGGGCAATGTGCCTTCGGAGGCTGAAGAGTGAGTAGCCAGGGTGCAAGGGAGGGGAACTGGGGCTTGGGGAGGCGGGCGTTCTGACCGGCTTCTCTCCCAATCCCCAGCCTCACCCCGCCACCTCCACGGAAGCCTTCCTTCCCGTTCCAGTGGGCCTGGGAGAGCTTCTTGGTGGATGGCCGGGGCCTGCCCCTGCCTTTCCCCAACGCTTCCCCTGACATCCTGCTGCCCAGGAGGGCCCAGGCCTCAGCCCTGCCACCTGCCAGGGCCCCCCGGAAGTCCCGATGGAAGGCTGTGACTCCACCTACCCAGCCAGCCAACTTGCCACTCTACTGGAAAATGGAGGCCCGAAGTCAGGACATAAAAAGGCTGCTGAAAACCGGGGTTCAACCTGAGCCAGATGGCCAAGAGAGCCAGGACAGCCAGGATTATCAGGATGAACAGGAACAAGAAGGGCAAGACCAAGATGGCGGGGAGGAGGAGGAGCCTGAGGGCAGAAGGGACCTCAGCCTCTGGCCCTCTTCTCTGTCTCCTGAAAACAGGTTGAGACTCCAAAGGTCAAGGCTGGGGAGGAAGCCAAGGGTGAGGGGCAGCTGTGGGGGCCAGGCTGGAGGGGCAACAGAGGGAAAGGAGAGAGTGGGCAGGGCCTCAGAGCTGTCAGTCTGTTTCCCCTGGTGCCCAGGAGCAAAGAAGAGGAGAGAGACCAGCTGAGGAAGTGGAAGGCCCTCCATCTGGCTGGTGTCGCCCTGCTTAGAAGATTTCGGAAGAAGCAGGCAAAGTCGAAGGAGGAAGAGATCTTGGACGTGGAGATCCTGCGGAAACATCTGCAGGAACAGGGGCCCTACTGTGAGTCCCCAGGGGCACCCCCCCTTCTCTGGCCTTCAGCTAACTCTTGTCAAAGGAGGAGGTTGGGGTTCTTCAAACGGGGGAGGGCCTTTCCCTAGGAGGCCACCAACATTTGTATTCTGTCAGCAGATTAGCAAGAATAATTCATTAAAATCAGAATATGCCAGGCAGCATCCCCCTCTCACATCATACTAGGGGACTCCTCCCCGGCCTGGCCTTCCCACCCCAAGAAGCAGCCTCCTGGTGTCCCAAGGTCTCTGTCCAGTGTCCTGAATCTGAAGTTCCTCTCTCCTCCACTTACTGGGATTTGTCTCAAAAAGTTGAACTTTGGTTCAACGTTTGCTGAACCTTTGTGCTGTGAGCTATGACTCCAAGTTACAGCCCTGAAACCTAGAGTCTCTGACTCCCCCACTAGGCCACACAACCTGTTTAAGAGGGCAGAGATATATGGGCAACATTGTAGGACTATTTCCATCCCAAAGGTGATGGTGCTTAAGGGGCCAGCTTCAGTTATCTGGAAGCCTCCCTTACTTAGAACCTCCTGGCCCCTCTGCACTCGGGCAGGTGTTGGGGGAGGATAGGGAGAAGTTGCCTAAGAGACTAAGAGAGTGGGGAAGTCGGCAAGTAGGGAGGGGCACCTGAATTCTGTTCCTCTGTCGCCAGACTCCCAGTGGCCGATCCAGGATACCACACACCCTCGAGGCCACAAGTTCCAGGCCTGGGAAGATGTTAAGCCCTTCCTGCTGACCAGTGGTACCACCAGAACCTTTGAAAAGCGACGAGAGGCCACTAGGTAAGTGCCCTCCTGGGTACCTCCCCCCTCCCCCCAGGGCTGGGCAGTGAGAGGCAGAAAATGAAAGCTGCCTGCCCCTTCATTCATCACTCCTTCACAGACAGTCCAGCTTCTTCATTGGTTAAGGGGGCCTCCTCATCTGCTGATTTACATCACTGACTTACAGACCCACTTCCTATCACCCCCATAATAATACATATAGATACATATGTATATGCACACACACAGAGTGAAAAGGCAATAGTACAGACAGAGATGGAAGAGCCCTTCTACTCTCTTGTTTTATAGCTAAGGAAACTGAGGCCTAGAGGAACTTGCTTCTCCAGCGGGCAGTTTCCTGACTTGTAAAAGGAGCCCCAGCCCTTCGAGGCCTTCTTCAGCTCGAAATCTATATGACCTAAGTCTGCTTTCATTGCTCCCTAGACTGGGAGTCCCTTGGGGGTAGGGACTGGTATATTTTAATTTCGTTTTTGGCCTTTTTTTTTGTATGCCCAGCGGCTGGCATGTAGTAGGAGCTTACTCAATGCTTACTGCCTGCCTGCCCAAAGGAAGGTTACCATTAAATCCAATATAATCCAGCCAGCACTGACTATGTGCCCAGCTGTGGGGCTATACCAGACAAAACCACAACAATCTTTGCCATCAAGGAGCTTACATTCTATCTGAGGAAGGATATAACACATACAAATACAATTGGATACAAACTACGTACAACACATATAGATACAATTAGATACAAACTATACCCAAAGAAAGTACAAGGTAATGGGGGAGGGCTAGGCACTATCTCCGTGGGGAAAGGCCTGACGTGGGAGTGTTTTAGGAGAAGATTTGAATAAATCTAGAGATGCCACAAGGAGGAGGTGAGGAGAGAACCGTGTTGCAGGCTGGGCCACAGCCCAGCGATGGGAGTTGACTCCACATTGGCCAGACCTTGGTGTGGGGGAAGCCTAGAAAACAAGGCTCAAGTCAGATGGGAAAGGGCCCTAAATGCCAAAAAAGAGTTTGTGTTGGACCCTAGAGGCAGGTGGGAGCTCTTGATGCTTTACCGTGGAAGATCACTGTGGCAGCTGAGGGGAGGGCAGAGACCTGGGACAGGGATGGCAATAGGGGCCTGGTCTAGAGGCATGGCTATGGGCACCGGGAGAGAGGGATGACTCAGGGAGGATGCTCAGGGGTGACTGGGAGGATGGCAATTTACAGACAAGAAGAAAGGTCAGTTTGAGGGAAAGACGATGAGGTCTGTTTTGGGTGTGTTGACTTTGAGGGGCTCATGGTTGGAGTTCAGGGGAGTGCCTAGGCCTGGAGCTAAGGGTCACTGAACCCACAGAATGGATGGGCTCACCAAGAGAGTGGAGGGAGGAAAGAGAAGAGCCTTGGGATGCACCCATGGTGAGGGCAGAGGAGGCTGGCACATGAGTGCAACAAAGAATGAAGACAGAGACATTACATGTTGGGGAATCAAGAGAGATGAATACAGTGATGGCCCAGAGAAGTGAGAATGTCCAGGAGCAGAGGGGGTTCACGTGTCCAAGAGGCCCGGAAGTGTGGGCCCCTAGAAGGAAGAGCTTGTGGGGAACCTGGAGAGGGCAGCATCAGCTCAATGAAGTCAGAAGCTGGAATGGCCAGGGTCCAGAGGAAGTGGAGACCACCAGCAACGTTTTCTAGGATTTTAGCAGTGACAGGGAGAAACAGAGGATGCTAGGTAGCTCAAGGGAATGGTAGGATCAAGGGAGAGTGTGTGTGTGTGTGTGTGTGTCTGAATGGAGAAGGCTGGGAGTCACCACCTTTGTGGGAGAACAGGGAAAGAAAGGCTCAGGGAGAGCCTCCTGAAGGCAGGGCCACATGAACTGGGCTCTGAACGAAGTCTAAGAAGCTGCCAAGCTGAGGGGAAGGCAGATGATCAGGGTGAGGGAGGCAGATGGGCCAATTCCAGAGGGTTCAATAAGAGACAGAAGCAGGGGTGCCCCGGGGACTGGCCCATAGACAATGTCTTCACCCTGTTCCTTTGTCCCCGTTTTCACTGGACACCCTGCGCTTTGCTCCTCTTTGACCCCGTCCTTGCCCACATTCCCTTCTGCCCATGACCTTGGCCCTCAGTGATTCTGTCTCCAGGGTCTTGGCTTCATTCAGTGCCCCTGCCCGTCCCTCACCTGGGCGCACACCCTGCCACAGCCTCTCAGACTTAAGAAAGGAAAAATGGGTCTAGTGGAAACAGCTCTGGCTCGAGAGTCAGGCAGCATCCGTGGTCAGCCCAGCTCTTTCTTCCCCTGGCAGCCCCTCAAGGCCTTCCTCTTTCTGAATCATGATACTGAGGCTGGAAAAGGGCTTGGGAAGTGGACGTCTGGATGGGAGGGAGCAGAGTGGTGGCTGTCTGTCCTCTTGCAGGGCCTCACGTCATCCCCACCCCCCTCCCCAGGACCTTGATGCTGGAGTGGGAGCGCCGCAAGCTGGAGGAGCAAGCCAGGGAAGAAAAGCGCCGAGCTCAGGAGCATCGGGTCCAGAAGCAGGTGGCTCGGTGCCTGGCAGCCTATGGGCCTTCCAGGTCCAGGGGGTCTGGGGCACCCCATCGCAAGCTTGATGAGCTCAGGTGCCCACCCTCATGGTGGGGGGTTGGGGAGGAGGTTCTCCGGAGGTAGGGGCACAGCTGGTCCCTACAGGAGCCTGTGTGTGGGGCTCCAGGGCAAATGGGGAAAAGAGAGAGGCCAGCCCCTGCCAAGTGCAGGGAGGGGGCCCCCACTTTGGCTGGGAAGCCAGGAGCTCTGAGCAGGAGAGGTGCAGGAAGCTGCCCAGGGCAGCCTCACATTGACCCTGCTAAAGCCTGGGGTACTGAGGCGGAAGCTTTGGGAGATCATGGCGGAGGGGGCACCAGTGTGGCCTGAGGGAGTAGGAAAGGCTGCTGGGGAGGAGAGGGCTTGAGGTGGGATGGTAGCGATGCTCACAATGTGGATGGGCCCGAGTGGATTATGTGTGTGGGGGAGACATTCTGCAGGTGAAGCTAAAAGGCTCTGACCGGGGGTGGGCAGAGAGGGAACCAAGGAAAGTGCTGGGGGCGATGCTTAGCCCCCAGCTGGGGTGGGAGAATTCTAGGCAGGAGTACTTCAGTTGGGGGTTGGGTAGGAAGAGAGGAGGCTGGGGGAAAGTACTCTGGACAGGGGTTTACAAAGGAGCTAGGGGTTACCAAAACACGGGCAGGCATGGAAGGCTGCCGCCCCCCTCCCACCCCAGGGTTCTCTGTGGGGGTGGGGAGAGAGAAAGCCATCAAGGAGAGGAGGAAGCAGAAGGCCTGGGGTGGGCACCGCCACCGGCTCCAGCTGGCTGGACGGGGCCCGAAGAAGGCAGTTGGTTCCTCTCCGCCATCTGCCCTCTCTCCAAACTTTGTCCCATCTGGCTGTCAATGGGTCTGAGATTCCCCTGCAGGGATCAGTATCTCAGCATGGCAAGGGGGCCTCTTCTTGTCCCACCGTTCCACTATTGAGAAGGGCCAGGGACGTTACAGCGGCTGCCACCAGCAGCAGCGGGGTCCTATGGGCTCAGGTCTGTTCGCTGCTGCTGCAAGGGCAGGACGTGTAGGCTCCTAGGTCCATAGCTGTGCTCCAATACCCTGGGACCCGATTCTGGGCCACGGGAGGCCCAGAGAAAGGCAGCATCTGGTCCAAGGCCACACAGCTAGGGAGGAGTTGGGGGGGAAGGTCATCCAACTCAGTCTGACTCCAAGTCTGGGGCTCCTTTCCACACCTCATTCATTCCCCCAACAGCTCTGTGTGCAGAAAGCAAAGGGAGCAGAGAAATAAACATGGTCACTGGTCTCAAAACTGACTGCACATTGCCTGGGGCTGAGGGAGCACTGCGTTCTGCAGGGAATTGTTTCCCTTGCCTTAGAGATGGGCACAGTGCGGAATAACACCCCTAAGAGTAGCTAGTGTTTATTTTGTGCTTCATGATATCACAGAGAAAGAAACTGAGGCAGACGGGTTCAGTGACTTGCCCAGCATCACTCGGCTAGCGCATCTTTGGGCAGATTTGACCCTAGGCCTTTCCGACTCCAGGCCTAGCGCTCTCCCCACTGTGCCACCCAGCCGCCAGAATCGGGGAGACGTGGTTTCCTAGCTGTGTGGTCCTGGCTTCACCTTTCGGTCAAGGTCCAAAGTCTAGCATCTCAAGTCCCCGGTGGTGTCCCCAGAGTCTGGCCAAGTCCCTTTATCATAGAAGGGTCATTTCAGAGGGTTTTCAGGCTGAGCCCGACCTCTAGTGACCCCGCCCTGTCTCCACAAGCCAGGCAGCAGGAGAAGCAGCGGTTGGCAGAGTACCAGGCTGAGCTTCAGGGCATCCATCACCGGGTGCAGAGCCGCCCATTCCTCTTCCAGCAGGCCATGCAAGTATGGGCACCTGCCTCGGTGGGACACTGCCAGCTTTGCCCTCCCTCCCTCAGCACCTGGAAGGACTGGAGCCAGGGAGAAGTAGATCTCCCCAATTCTGCTGCCCTCTCTCCCCCAGATCCTCACTGCCCTTCCCCCCAGGCCTCTACAGCGTCATCCCAAATCAACAAAACGCACACTGATTAGGCCCCTGCTGTGTGCAGTGCCCTGTGTCAGGGTGAGGGACTATCTTCGCCCTCCTCGGGGGACTCACCACCTAGCTGGGGATATTACAAATGCTCCAAAACGCCCATGGAGCTGCGAACTCATTGATGAGCTCTCTCTCCAACAATGCCACTCATCACCCGTCCATGCCTGCCCAGCCTCAGTTTCCTCATCTGTCCTAGAGGAGGGGACATTTTGAATTGAGTTTTAAGGGATAAGAGGAATGGAAACATGAAAGAGAGGGAAGAAGGGCATGCCAGACAGAGAGGACAGTGTGAGCTAAGCTGGAAAAAGGTATGAAGGTTCAGGGCAGCTCAGCAGTTCAAAGAGTAGTCAGCTTAGGCTGGGGTGCAGAGGGCTGGGAGAAGAATGGCGTGGATCCAGTCAGAAAGGCTGGACCGCGCCAGAGGCCAGAGGGCCTTTGACCTTTTCCTTGGTGGGCAATGGGCAGTGTCTGGAGACTTTGGAGCAGAAGATGCCACTGGCAGGGGCCCAAGGGTCACAGGGCCCTCTATCGGTTTAGCGATAGAAGTGACCATGCAGGCAATCTTACTCCAATTCCCTCGTCTTACCACCGAGGAGGAAGGGAGGGTCCAGGGACTGGATAAGGGAATGGAAGAAGTCACCCTTTAGGAGGCAAATGCAAAGGTGGATGGAAATGAGGCCTGCACTCAGGTGTGGCTTGGGACAAGAGAAGAGGAGAGGAGGGCTGGGGAGGTGGGTGTGGCTGCTATGAAGAGTGAGAACCCCAAGGCGAGGAGAATAAGTGACAGGGTCATGGGATGCCAAGGACAGGCTCAGAAGTGGGAAGGCTAAGGAGGGTCAGCGGGAAAGGAAAGAACAACCCCCTCCAATAGAACTCTGAGGCCCAATCCCACAGGAGCCAACTCCAGGGAATGGAGTCCTCCTGGCTCTGCTCATTCTAGGGCTGATCACCACACCCTTCCATCAAACAAATCAAGGAAGAAGCCTTTATTAAGTGCCTGCTCCTGGCAGGCACTTTTCCTGCCCTGGAGGAGCTCCTCATTGCTTCCCAGACTGAGGAGGGGAGCCCTCCATCCATACAACCTCCCAACAACGGTTGCCATCTCCAGATGGGGGTCTCTCTCACCCCTCCCACTGGTTTCAGGGGCTCTCATCTCCCTAACAGGCTAATGCCCGGCTCTCAGTGAATAGACGCTTTTCCCAGATGCTGTCGGCCCTAGGTTTGGATGAGGAGCAGGTATTGGCTGAAGCACTGAAGGATGAGATGGAGGAAATCCCCTCAAAATACAGGTAGGGACCTGGGTTCTCCTCAAAGGCTTAGAGGATCCAGAGCAAGCCCCCCATTTTATAGGGGAGCAGACTGAGGCTCAGAGAGGAGCCTCCAGGCTTTCCCAAGGTCAAACAGCTTTTCCCAAGGGATTAGAAGCCCTCCCAATGCCTAAGAGCCACGCCTTCCGGCTGATTTCACTTGGTGGGTCCCCAAGCCTGGAATGCTTTCACTCTCTTCCCTCGCCTCCTAACTTCTCTGGCCTCCTTCCAGTCTCAGCTGAAAATCCCACCTTCAGCAAGCAACCTTTCCCAGTCCTCGATCTCAGTGCCCACCCAGTTTATCTTGTGCCGATCTTGTTTTCACATAGTTTGGCGTTTGTCTCCTCTGTTGAACTATGAGCTCCGTGGGAGTGGGGACTGGTTTTTTGCCACTTCTGTATCTGCAGCGCTTAGCCTAGTGTCTGGCACACAGGTGCTTCCTGAATGCTAGATGGCTGAGTGACTGACAGCAGGATAGCCACCTCCACCGTTACCACCCAAGGGGCTGAGCGGGCGTGTGACTGACCCTGGCTGAAGCTTGGATGGGGTCTTTCCAGGTGCTTGGGATGCAGATGGAGGAAAGAGGAGGCCTTCACACCGGGAGCCCACCACAGCACGGCCACACCCCATCTAACCTACTGCATTCACACTGTAGACTGAGACACCCTCCTGGGAGTAGATGAGGTCCCTGCTGCCAGCCCAGACTGAAGGGTGCTCCAAGGAGGCAACTTCCAGGCCACTTAGCCCCCGAGGGGAGCCTGGTTGCCAAAGAATACCCCTCTGTCTCTTCCCAGGTCCTCAAAGACCAGGAAGCTGGCCAGGAGCCAACTGAAGCAGCTTTTGTGGGGCACGGAGTGAACAGGGCCGGAAGCTGCCCGAAGTCAGCGAGCCAAGTAGAGAACATTACCCGGGACCCAGGGTTGAATGGGAAAGGAGGAGAGAAGGAAAATGAAATTATTGTATTAAAGCCCAGTGTCTGCTTTCCTGCCTGGCCAGAGCCCTCGGGAGCTTGGGGTCTGCCTGGGGAAGCAAGCAGCAATGACAGATGACTGATGGTAACTGGGGATGCTGAATCCAGATGGAAGCATGGGGTCTGTGTCACAGCCAGAGGGGAATATAACCTCAGTGATCCTCAGCCCTCTGGCCTGGACCAGGCATACACTCTACCCAGCCCCCAGCCCTGGGGAATCCAGAATTCCCTCCCCACGAGTGACTTTTTAACACCAACATTTAAATTCCTTAAGACCCCAGATTTCCAACAGCCACAGAGACCTCTCAATCTTCATTCCCTTTAGGGGAGGAGATGGTCCTCTTTGGCTTACAAAGGAAGAAACCGAGGCACACGGAGGCAAAGCAATTTTGTACTGGGTCGAAGGAAAGTAAGGAGATACCCTACAAATCATTTGGTTCCATAAAAAGGCATTTAGGAAAAAAAAATATTGCAGAGGGGCAGTGAATTTCATAGAGCCATCTGAAGTCGTATATTAAGCACCTATTGTATATGGTGCCAAGGAGACAGCAAATAAGATCCTTGCCCTCACAAGGGCTTACTGACTAGTAGAGGGTCGAGAAGGAATTACACAACTAATTGACAACAGAAGGCCATCGGGGCATTATAGGTGTATAAAAACAGGAGTCAGGACGACCTGGGTTCCATTCTCACTTCAGAGACTGGCTCTGTGAGTTTGGGTAAATCACCCCAGATTTCTTATCTATAAAAGGAGGGGACTGGAGTCGACGTCCTCCGTGGTACCCTTCCCGCTCTAACTGTGATCTGAAGTGCAGGTGCTTTACCAGACAGCAGGACCGGGGAAGGCTTCTGAGGGAGGTCGCATCTCCCTGACCCTTCACCTGGCAAAGGGGTAGGCTGGGCTGCTGTTCAGCAAAGGAGCATACAAAGAACAGTGTAAAGGAAGGTGGAGGTGAGATCTTGCAGGCCCGATGGGGTATTTATACAAAGAGTAGAATCCTAGCTCGCTGGAAGGCTCTTCAGAGGCCACCTAATCTAAACTTAGCCTTTTTCTAAGGCGGAAACTGAGGCCCAGAGAGGTCAAATGACTTGTCCAAAGGCCCCAGCAATCAATATGGCAATATCGATGCTCAGGACCCTTTAGGCCTCTGGGGCTCATGAAACGGTAACTAAACAGGAAGAGCCTTGAATTTAGAATCCGGGGATCTGGGTTTGAATCTTGCTGCCTTTACTGTGCGAGCTCTGTGATCTCAGCCAACTCGCTTGGCTTTTCTCAGTTTCCTCATCTGTAACAGGATGGGGCTAGACTAGATGGCCTCTTCCTTCCAGCTCTAAATCTCTGAGCCTGTGACTCAGATTTTCGCCAACCATACAGTTTGGGGTCTCAGGGTTCCAAATGGGAGCTTGGCTCACGATATATTTTTCCATTTATTTTTATTTCCAAATTTTCTTCCTCCACCCTTCCCACCACTCATGAAGAAGTCCCAAAATGTCAATATCCTTTATACACATGAAGTCACGCAAAACGTGTCCACATCAGCTACTCACAAATTAGTGATGCTATTGTTGGTAGCAGTATTGACCCTCACATCTTCCTCCTATGCCTAAATCTGGGAAGGAGGTAATCTGGGCTCAGCTGGCAAGGCTGGAATAATGGCAGGGCACTGAGAGTTTGTCCCCAGGCTTGGAATTCAGAGTTCCCACAGCACTTGCAGCCAGCCCATCAGTAAGGAACCAGAGAATTTCAGTGACAAAAAATGACTGATTAAAACAAGATTCCCGATGGTGGGATGGCTCCAACCCTCCCTGCACTGAGGGCGGGCTTCATGAAGTTGGTGCTAGCCCTGTACAGCTCTTAGCAGTGCCTCCACCAGCCAGTTCTGCCAAGAGGGGAAGTGTCAGACATCATTGTTGGTGAAAGGAGCAGTCCCAGTTGGCTCTGAGAAGAGGTGGGATCTCGGGCCAATCTGATCATAGGACTATGGATTTCCCTTCTTGGGTACCTGAAGGGCAAATCGTCCAGAAGTGGCCGACAACAGAAACACCTAACACACAGTCATAACATAATTTCTACCATCCCTCAGAGGAGGCTCTTATGAGGATTTACATAAAAAATAAACCAGTGGTTCTTAAGCTCATGCTGGGGATGTCCAATGCTCATTGATTTGGGCATTCTCTTCAACAATGCAGAAGAAGGCAGCCTGTCCATCCCAGGCAGCTTTTGTCCAGGTCCTCCCAAAATTTCGCCACAAGGGGTCTACCCAGAATGTTGAAAACCTCCCAGTGGCCTAGCCTTACCAGATCTAAAACTGTACTATAAAGCAGCAATCATCGAAACTACTTGGTACTAGCTAAGAAATAGAGTGGTGGGTCAATGGAATAGGTTAAGTACACAAGACACAGTAGTCAATGACTATAGTAATCTTGATAAACACAAAGACCCCAGCTTCTGGGATAAGAACTCACTATTTGACAAAAACTGCTGGGAAAACTGGAAAACAGTATGGCAGAAACTAGGCGCAGACCAACATCTCACACTGTATACCAAGAAAAGGTCAAAATGGGTACATAAAGGGTGATACCATAAGCAAATTAGGAGAGCAAGGAATAATTTACCTGTCAGATCTATGGAGGAGGGAAGAATTTATGGCCAAACAACAGATAGAGAACATTATGAAATACAAAATGTATAATTTTGATTATGCTAAGTTAAAAAGATTTTGCACAAAGCCAATATAACCAAGATTAGAAGGGAAGCGGAAAGCTGGGAAACAATTTTTACAGCCAGTGTGTCTGATAAAGGCCTCATTTCTAAAATATATAGACAACTGAGTTGAATTTATAAGAATATAAGACATTTGAGAATGGACAAAGAATACAAACAGGCAGTTTTCAGATGAAGAAATTAAAGCTAACTATTCATATGAAAAAATGCTCTAAATCACTATTGATTAGAGAAATGCAAATTAAAACAACTCTGAGGTACTACCTCACACCTATCAGATTGGTTAATATGACAAAAAAGCATAATAAATGTTAGAGAAGATGTGGGAACATTGGAACACTAATGCATTGTTGGTGGAGTTGTGAACCGATCCAACCATTCTGGAGAGCAATTTGGAACTATGCCTCAAGGGCTATAAAACTGTGCATACCCTTTGACCCAGCAACAATACCACTTCTAATTCTGTATCCCAAAGAGATCATAAAAAAAGGGAAAAGGACCCATATGTACAGAAATATTTATAGCAGCTCTTTTTGTGATGAGAAAGAATTGGAAATTGAGGGGATGCCCATTAATTGGGAAATGGCTGAACAAGTTGTGGTACACAAATGTAATAGAATACTATTGTTCTATAAGAAACAATCAGGCAGATTTCAGAAAAAAACTGGAAAGATTTACCTGAATTGATGCTGAGTGAAGTGAGCAGAACCAGGAGAATATTGTATATGGGAACAGCAAAATTGTGTGATGACCAACTTTGATAGACTTAGCTCTTCTCAGTGATGCAAGGATCTTAGACAATTCCAAAAGATTCATGATAGAAAACGCTGTCCACATCCAGAGAAAGAGCTATGGCGTCTGAATGCAGATCGAAACATACTATTTTTTTTTTCTCGTGGTTTTTCCCTTTTGTTCTGATTCTTCTTTCACAACATGACAAATGTGGAAATATGTTTAATATGATTGAATATATATAACTTACACCACAGTCTTGGGCAGGGGGGAGGGAAGAGGGGAGACGGAGAAAAAAATTTGGAACTCAAAATCTTATACAAGTGAATGTTGAAAACTATCTTTACATGTAACTGGAAAAAATAAAATACTATTAAGTGGGGGGAAAATGAAAACCTTCCATCCAGTGGAAGGTGTCCATGATCTACTTGCCACCTCTGTCAAAAAGGGACAGCTAGATGGCGAAGTGGATAGAGCAATGGTCCTGCAGTCAGGAGGACCTGAGTTCAAATCCAGCCTCAGACATATAGCACTTACTAGCCATGTGACTCTGGGCAAGTCACTTAACCTCTATCGCGTCACCCAACCAAAAAACAAAAACAAAAACACGGGGGCAGCTAGATGGCGCAGTGGATAGAGCATGGGCCTTGGATTCTCTGATGTCCTTTACTACTGTTCTTTGGGACGCTTTGTTGTTCAGATGGCACAGCCCACTTACACCTGCCGTGCACTCTTCTGGTGCCCCTGATGGGATGCTAATGTTTAGGTCTTCAAAGGCAATGGGGCTTCAGGTCTTGCTGCCATACAGCAACATTGGTCAGTGTTGAGAAGATTGGCCTTTTGCTGTCATGGGAACCAAGGGCGTGGTAAAAGGGCCTTGCAACTTCTTAAAACCAATCTAATTTTCCTCTTTCCTTTTCAAATCTGGATCCAGCTCATGGTCCACTACTACTTACCCCAGAAACACATCCTGTTGGTCAAGCCTGCAGGCTGCTAATTCAAATGTAGGTGGAAATCTGAGCAATAGACAGTTTTCAACTATTTGATTTTTCCTGGGTTGAGTAAACACACAAACTCCTCTGGACAGTTAAAGATCTCTTCCAAGAGACTCGGCAAGGTCTTGCGGCTTGATGTAATCAACATGTCACCCTCAAACAGGAACCCTCGCCATCCACAAGGGACCCTCCTCAGCAAGGACTCTGTGGACCACCATCAGAAAGGCGAACATTTAAGGCAAGAACACATCTACTCAGTTTGAGCCTCACTGGGTGTTGTTGACCAGAGGGCCACTGAATAGTTATTTTACATCTTCTGAGGAATTTTAATAAGCTTAATATACAGATAGGATACACCTAGTTAAACAACAGCTGTAAAGTGGGAAGGGGGGGCAACATTTATTCCAGGGGAATGCTTTTATTTAATCAATGAACACAAAGGGATCTTATAATCCCAACATCTTTCAATCAACCGCAAGATGGTAAACATATATTTCTGAATATAAATTTATAAAA